CAGAAAAATAAACAATCAGCAACAGAAATGTATCAAATTAAAAATTACACAATACTAAAATTATGGGTTGGATCAAAAACACACACAGAAATAATACCTGGCTGAAATATCTTGTAATAAGGGCTGTAGGCCACGTTGAGGCCACCCAGCTTGACAGCAACTTCATAGCGTCCAGCCTTACGCACTGTGAAGGCCACTTTGACTACATTGGACTCTGGTTCTTGCAGAACTTCCTGTGTAACAGGGATGTCCAGAGCCAATTCAATGTGGGTGATGTTGACCCTCAGCCCAACAGGCCGGTGGGCCGGGAAAGGCTGGCCATTCTTGTAGAACAGCTGAGGAGACAGGAACACAAAAGGTGCATAATTTAATACAGAGACCACACAAGTAAATGTAACCTTTCTTAAAGGCATATTACACACTGCAAATGAACATTTGTGAATCAGCTACTCACTTCTTGTTACACTGAATTCATGAAGAAAGCCTTGTTCTTCTTGCATGATGAACAGAGAATCCAAAAACTGAGAAAATTCTTGATGAATTGAAGTAAATGGGGTCCACATTTAAAAGCAGCAAAACAATATCAAACCATCCATTTACTCTCATACAATTCATGCAGAATACCCAAGTCTCATTTATCTAGTCATGTACTCAGTACTTAAGAAGCAGCCCTTTGCATGGGGAACTGAACAAGAAGTGAAACTTCTCTATGCTCTCTTTAAAGCCAGACTCTATTAACAAAAGATATTTCTACCTTACTGAGCAGCACAGCCGCTGATCTACTGCTGCGTTGATCAGTTAGTGTGTTTGTGTTATTGTGTGGCTTTGTTGAATCTTAACTAACCCTTTAAAACACCAAAGTCACACAATTTGACAGACAAACGACCAATCAAGGCAACATTGCGGTAGACCAGCTTCTCCAGTGTTCAGCGAGGTAAAATTACAGCTTTTGTCAAAGCAGTGTGGCTGTTACGAGAGCGTAGATAAGTTTCACTTTTTGTCCAGTCCCCGTCAGAGAGCTTATGAGCTTATACTGAGCATATGACTTCATGACTGATACTTGGATTATAGTTCATGAGCTGCGTTAGAGGTTGTAGACAGATGTTTTGATATAATTTTGCTGTTGTTTAAGGCAAAACCCCTTTACTTCAAGTTATTAAGAATCTTCTTTGTTTTTCTCGCATACTTCTGGTAAGGTTTTTTTTTTTTTTTCATAAATTCAGTGTAACATGGTGTGAGTGATATGCTTGACACTTCTGCATGCATAAGCCACTTGTTAAAAGTCATTTAGACAAGAAACAAGAGGTACAGTGCATCTTTAGCTCACATAAGGAATAAATTATCACCTGGACTCTGAAGCTCATAGTCTGCCCCACTTCCTGCGGTTCCTTCCAATCCCAAGACACCTTGCAGGAACGTGGGTCCAGGTAGTTTCCCCGGACATAGTCATAGATGCTGCGGTCGCCGCGTCGCCCTGGATCCTCATTCTGCAGGAAGCTGACCACCCGCGCTGCAAGCTCACAGAGGAACTTGATGGTGAAGACAAACGCTATGATGGAAACAGTAATTCCACCTGCCGCGAGAAAGGAAGCAGCACAGGAGTTATTGGAACATGTGGTTGTAATAAATGTATTTATTTAGTTTTCAAAAAAATTGGTTTACCACTAAAACAGAGCTTAAAGTTTGACAAAGGTTTTATAGGACCAAGACTTTAAAACAAATTCCTTAGGCTATACGAAAACTACAAAGCAACTAGTAAAACCAGTAGTGCCACTTCACAGTGCCTGAAGGAAGACAAAGAATGAGTCACATAGCAGCAAAGCCAGGACCTGCCTGTAAGGCCAAACCCCAATCCCAAACAGCTGACACAGGACTCACCAATCACGTAAAACATGAGGTCCCTTATCAAGAAGCACAGCGCCACAGTACAGCCAAATATGAGAGCTCCCGCTGAAAGACAATTCGACATTGTACCAGTGAATAAATAAAATGAAGACAATGCACACTTCCTGCTCTGAGCCTGCAGGTTTCAACTGTTTCATGAATACATAACCACAGGCTTGATGACACTTTATTCTACATGTTCCTCTGTGAAATGAAGCAACAACAAATGCCAAGAAATGGCGTGATCCAAGTCGCCAGTTTAAAACTTTGGTATGGATTATTAAATCCATACCAAGGGCAAGAATACAAATGTAACAAGTGCTGATGGTTGTGTATTAGAAATGCTTTACAGTGAATTGTATATTTATTTTTACATCATTCTATATTTATTTTAAACAGGAAGGAATGGGGTGTCTTTATCAGAGAGATAAAGAAAAACAAACAGATGTTGGGCTGTACACAGAGATGAAGCAACACTCAACTTCTCCATTACAACACTTGAGCTCCACTCAAATGATATGTTGCTCGTGTAGCAACACTTGTGAAAACACTTAGCAACTCCTACAAACAGTACAATCCATCTTATGTTTACGTCTTCTATGTAAATGCCTCTTAATACTCTGCAGCTGTGGACAGCAAGCCAAAGCAAAACCAGTCAAAGGCAGAGAATGAGGATGAGCTCACCAACTGTCCACTTTTCATTCAGACGCCTCACTGTAAGGCTGTGCACCAGCCGGATCTCGTAGTCCTGGTCACGACTCCCCCTGGAGTTCTGGAGGATCTTGATGCCTGTGGACAACTTAATGTAGTCTTCGTAGTAGTAACCCCAGGCAGCTAGAGACAGCTGCAGCTGACTGTCAAACTGAGACAGATCATCCAGATTCATACAACCCAAGGTCTTCAGTCTGCAGCGGAGAAACAAAAGTGAAAGTATATGAAGTAGATCACTGACATGAATGGTAGGGATGCTTATTACTTTGAAAGTACAGCCTTTAGAAATACAACTCTACCATGACTGCTACACGTGTCTATTGACGAAGACCGCTGACTGCACACAACAGGTTGTCCCGCACACAAAGCAAACAATAGTTTTTGTGAAACTCTGTACAAGGGCAAGGTCAATCTTATCTGTTAGACTTGTTAGTTATATCAACAGGGAGGGGTAAGGCGGTGCGGCATGTTGCATGTTGCCTTACCAAAAGACAACATATTACAGCCCTAAAGTTTATTGCATGGGAAGGTCTCGATAAACACAGCAGAGGTGAATGCTTGGCAGACAAACGGTCGTAAAACTGAACCATAAACTCCGATTGAAAAGCTACTACCACTACAACATAGTATACTAGCAGTATTAACACATACTTGAATGGCTAAAAAAAGGCAAACGTTTTTTAATTTGAAAACACATATTCCATTCAAGGTGTCAAACTCATAACGTTGTACAAAAAACTTAAGTTCCTCTGGCAACAAGACATTTGAGTTGCTTTCTTCATCTAATAGCAGTTCTGTGGATGTTTATCTACCTAATCTTACAGTGATAATGAAAAAAGTAATCCCCTTTTTTTGTCTTTTATTCTAGTATATAACGACTCTGACTCCTAATTACACAATTTCTCTGAGAAGCAATGAAAGGCTTATGTGAGCAACTTCAACTTCCCTGTTTACAAATTATTATTTTTAGACAACAACAGAATTCAAAAATGATCTTCTGCTACTACACAGTTAGTCACTGAATAAAAGCTTTGCTGTAATTATGTCGTCAATAAAGGTTTAAAGGGTGGCAGCAACAGCATGACAGTCATGACCTTCAGAAATGTGACACTGTGTCCATTTATAAAGATCAAAGAGTTTTCCTCATGACTATGACATGACTATAATGCATTTGAGAGACACAGCCAGCCAGCATCAAGAAACACTTCAACTGACTTTCAAAAGCCTGAGGCAACATTTTGATAAAGCAGTAACTAGCCTAGTTATCATAGCCGGTTTTGACTGCATCAACAGAGTGCGCCCGACACACATACACAAACACCTGCATTGCTGCAGGGTCTCACACAATCAGTCTCTAAAGAATACTTTTTACTGCAGTGACCCTCTGAAACACTGCAGCTTCCACAGCTCAGTGTCAGCAAACTCAGCCGGCCATGAATGGAGAGGCTGCCCTCAAGTGGACATACATCAACACAGCCTGTGTTAACCAGCACAAAACATAACTATAACCACTTCAAGACATTATAAACTATGCTGGGAAGAATCTACATATCTGACATGCCAACAAGGAATTGTTTCTGAAAAAGGAAAGCTGCTTTTGACTATTTGCCAGGTTGGTGCTAATGTTAACATTAAGGCCATTCATTGCTTACGTATGGTAATAGTGCTCCAGGTTCTGGGAGCAAAGCCACTCCTGGAAGGCAAAGTCTCGGAGCAGCTGGATGTGGGCCTCTGCAATTTCCCTCCAGCGCTGCTGTTCCTTCACCACCTCTTCCAGACGACTCAATACACTCAGACTCAGTTCCTCCAGTGTCTGTACATCTGGATGACACATGAACAGCACATGAAAATCCCCAATCACACACTGGCCAACAAATCAGCACCAGTAATGCCTCAGCACGGGCTTAAATACTCATTAAAGTCTAGTATAATGAGTATTTAAGCCTGTGCTGATTGGCCGTGCATGCCATGTGCATCTCATAAGCCTGAATATTCAGTGTTCGAAACAAAAAAAAATGACTAAGGGTCATAACAATAAGCAACACAGTCTCCTTGCATTAAAGCCCTCTAAGTCCAGTTAAACATGACACTTATCCTTGGTATTTCTGCAAAAGCTCTGATAGGTGCTGGATAAGCTTATGGTTAGCAAAAACATCCTACATGATAAAGTTTCAAGTAATATTAACCAGTCTTGCAGAGGTGTCCTCTTTGTGCAGGTCACTGAAGATACACATGCTTACCTCAGCTTGAATTAGACCATCAACCTAAGTTCTCAGATATAATGGTCATGTAAATCTCACATGAAGATGACTGTAAGCCACTGACCTTCAAACAAGTGCCTGTATTGAGAGAGGCTATGTCCTTGGAGCCATTCCTCAATCTGACTCTCTTTTCCTTTCTTCCAGCGCACTTCCCAGAAGAAGATCCACGACACTGAGCAGAAGAGGAAGGTCAGGAAGAAGCGGCGGTCCATCAGACCATCTTTCAGCCTTCACTCAGACCCCTCCGTGCTCAAAGAGAAACTGCCACAGGCCAGGGGGGCTAGACAAGTTTCCTACAATTGGAGAGAGACTGCTTAGGCTCATAACAGCTGTACCAAAATACAGAACAAAAAGCTTTAGTTTCCCACAAATGAATTCTAACGAGGGGCACTGGTCAAACAGATGCCTAAGAGCTTTACAATAAACAGCACTGCCAAGAAAGCATGAATATTTAAGTGTCACCTTGGAGAAGTGTTGGCTGATGGGAGAATAACATTACATGTAATCCACAGCACTGAAATATGCATGAACATCTTGGCAAAAGAATGCTCATAACACTCTCACCATCCTTTGTTTAGCCAGGACAATCAATAAACATCAACAAAACAGGGCAATTACAGTGTTAAGAAACTCCAAATCCAATCCAACAACAACAGTCCAGATGATGGTGATGGCACAGATAATGATGAGCTGTGTAGACGTGCTAGCTCAGGTGTCAAAGCGTTTCCAAATGTCACCCGCTGCCAGTTATAAACAGATAGCTAATATAACCTTTACAAACAGTCAGCTTTGGTTAACTTTGCTGGGCAGTTGTCTGAATGGAGTTTCGAAAACAAGTAAACACCAGCAGCGGGACACAAACAGGCTAAACGCAATATCATCAATTCTCTCCGCTCTATTGTCACCTGGAGCGCTAGGTAAAGCTGGAGGCTAACAACTGTTAGCATCGTGTCGATAAACTGCTATAGTAGCGTTTAGTTGACAAGCGAACGACAGCACAAAGCTAACGGCTAGCCAAGTTAGCCAACAATGTCAGCGTATTATCAGAGAGCTCGTCGCCGTCCGGTGGCGGTTATCAAGATGCACGACACAACACGTTCATAACACACCGTTTGCAATTGCGCAGCTACACAAAGCAAAGCTGCAAATGTAGAAATGTTGTTAATCTATGCTGCATCTACCTTCGTCTGTTGGGCATTAGCTTAGCAACCGGAAAATGCGCAGAAATTGTGTCGCTTATTGATTACGTCACCAGCAATCGCGTCCATACACGAGGGGAAGGGGAGCGAATTTTACACAGCTACTCAGCTCTGTGGTCTCAAATTTAAACCATGGTATGTAATTTTTAACTGTTACGACTGTCTCTCTTATTGCTATCCGTTAAAGTATGCTATTGTGTGTAACTGTTATTAATAATTTGGCGTTGAAGCTTTTTGACAGGCAAGTGACTGAGCTACATTAGCTAACGTTAGCCTAGCATCTAAAATGAAGTAAGCTCACAACTTCAGCTGTTGATAGGAAAGCTGTAAGTTAGATATATACATTGACATCTATCAATCTAAAGATCTTGGTCACAACATTATTGAACTTCAGTTGGCAATGACTCCATAAAAAGTTGCAATGTATGTAGCTTGTGTTCAGTGTTATGCTAATGAATTCAGTGGTTGTTTTGTAATCACTGTAGCTATACATGCTAACTCAACTGCCTGTCTTAAGAACTGCTTCAAAAATAACAATAACAACAACGTTCAGATTGTTTTTATGATTTAACGTTAGTTGCTATTTTGTTTAATGAAAAGAGAGGTTTTGTTGTTAGCCTAGACTCAAACCTTCCACTAGTAATATTCCAATAACCAATATTTGTGTGTTTTAATTTGTTAAATCAAGGGGAAGCAGAAAACAAGGAAGTTTGCTGCAATGAAGAGAATGATCAATCTGAAAGACAACAGACTGTGAGTTTTCTTATGTCTTCTGTTTTCTAGACAAAGTCACCCTGGCTTTAGCCATCTTGTTCATAAACTCTGTCCATCTCATTAATCCAGCTAAGTCTCATACAAATTCCAGAAAAAGAAAAGGAAAACAATAATATTTATGCGTGGATCATAAAGGTAACGCCTTGTTTGTTTTGTAGAAAAGAGAAAGACCGTGCCAAAGCAAAAGAGAAAAAGAAGAAAGATCCCTCAGCGCTTAAGGAGAGAGAAGTGTAAGTCTGACACACAAAAATTTGAAGAAGTTGATGAAGTACCTGTGGTAGATGGCTCCTTAACTTGATTTCTTTTAAATTTTTGTGCAGGACAAAGTACCCATCATGCCTCTTCTTCCAGTACAACACTCAGCTGGGTCCACCATACCACATTCTTGTCGACACCAATTTCATCAACTTCTCCATCAAGGCCAAACTAGACATCGTTCAGTCTATGATGGATTGTCTGTACGCAAAATGTAAGTAGACCTCTGTTGCAAAGTGGTTAATAACAATGAGATAGTAATTTTTTTCACATTCAATTAGGATATATAATGATGCATTTTTTTTTTCCTCTGCTATTTTGTCCAATCCAGGCATCCCGTGTATCACAGACTGTGTGATGGCTGAGATAGAAAAGCTTGGAATGAAGTACAGAGTCGCACTCAGGTACAAGCTGCTGAATATAATGTGGCACTTAGGACCTGAACTCATTCTGTTTATTCTTACGTTATTTGTCTAATCACTTTTTTTTTTGCTTGTCTTGTTTTTGCAGGATAGCCAAGGACCCAAGGTTTGATCGCCTGCCTTGCACACACAAGGGAACATATGCCGATGACTGTTTGGTCCAAAGGGTGACACAGGTAGTATGCCTTAATGTTCAGTTGCACTTACACATACATGTATTAAGATTTCAGTGTTGACTTCATGATGAACACCACAGCATGTTTGATAACAGGCCTTTTTCCACAGTAGAAATTTTGGCTTGTCACAGCAGAGGGCGCATGGGTGTAATTGATACATTTAAATTGTCAATTCATTTTAGTGGGTAAATGTATGTCATGTTTTGGTACTTAAGGTTTGATATCAATAACACAAATATATTTCCACAGCACAAGTGTTACATTGTGGCCACAGTGGACAGAGATCTTAAGAGAAGAATCAGGAAGATCCCCGGAGTACCCATCATGTACATCTCAAACCACAGGTAACAGAGCATTCCAACATTTGCTTTAAATATATGGCAGCTTTTTATGTGTGTGCTTTTGTAAAACTTTATCCTGGGCTTAATATCAGATTATTCGTCTTTCTTTTTTTTCATGCAGGTACAATATTGAACGGATGCCTGACGACTATGGTGCTCCAAGGTTTTAATATATCTACAACTGAGCTGGACCTGTAAATACACAAAGTTTCCTGTTTAATATTATTTTCCTTTTATGCATATAAAAAACATTGTGAGATTTTGTAGTTTGGTTTGGTGAGGGTGGGTGTGTTGATTTAACTGCAAATTACTTTAAGTTTTGTTCTTATTAAAGAAATTTGTTACAAGAATAAATGAAATGTGTGGAAAGCTAATGTCTTCAGTCTCCAGTTTTTCCAAGAGCCCAAACACGTAGAGGCTTTTCTTTTTTGAGCAAGATGCAGATTTGCTATTGGAAAGATGTCTTAGAGCAATTTCAGGTTCATATTTTTACACAGTTGTGGCTCTCTTCTTAATGACCTTGTTTTAAGATCTTTAATTTAAGTACAGTGGAAATCTGATTATTGCTTTTTTCCTAACAATGCAGGTAAGATGAGATGTACAATGGAAAACATAAGCAGGGGTTAACAGGGTGTCTGCAGGTCATTAAAAAGTCTTTAATTCTACTTCATAAATATAATGCCTTAGAAGTAATCAAATGATCTTAAATTTGAATTTGTGAGGTCTTGGCACACATTTCATTCATCCATCTTGTAATTTCTTTTTGTAAAAATGAGTTACTCTAAGCTCTTCTGTGTAAATTTCCACATTTCTGATGTTCCTAATCTGTAACATCACAAACCCACCACTGACCCTACTGTCTTTTTACTTTATACTTGAACTTAACCCAGGGGTGTCAAACTAATTTTAGTTCAGGGGCCACATACAGCCCAATATGATCTCAAGTGAGCTGGACCAGCGAAACCACTGCATAATAATCTATAAATAACAACCCTTTCAAATGTTTCCTTTTTTAGTGTAAAGAAGTACATTCTGAAAACGTTCATCCATTTACAAAACAAATAATAAATAGCCCACAATATCCTGAAAAAGTGCAAATTCAACCGTATGTCTCAGTTTTTCCACATTCAATCAGTCTACTACTCATTTTTATAACATGACTTTTCATAATTTTCCATTAAACCAGGTGAAATCATCCCCTGCCTTAGAGTCTGAAGTTTTGTCAGTGCCTCCTCAGCAGCAGGGTTCCTTCCATATTGTTTTAAGACAGAAATCTGATACAGATTCTTTTTTACTGAAGCTGCTGGTTGACAATATTTTACACAATGTTCAGTATCTTTAAATAGGAGTACAGAAAGTATTCATTGTCATTTCAGAGTGCTGTATTCTAGTCAGGGTGGAAAAGCCTCTGAGGCAGTATTTTACGTGCAGTATCACTGTTTAAACCTCTCAGCCTTCACAAGTGCATCAACATTAGGTGTGCAAACTCATCTAGATGGCTGGGTTGGACAGTTATGGCCCCAGGGCAGTTTGTTTGACACCCCTGACTCAACCTGTCAGCAAAATTTAGATTAACTTAACTCACTCTAATAACCATATTCTTACATAAGGCCTACCTCTGCATAGTTACCTGCAATGTTTGCATAAAAAATATATGATTTGTCTTCAAAATTGTCATGAAAAGGTATTTTAAGCATTAAAATTAAGTGTCCTATACCTGTAGACATCCTGATTAAATATTACACCAGTATAATTTAGCCAGTTAATGACTAATTAAGTAACCTGTGACATGATTAGAAGCTGCTGGACTTTAAACTGATAGTAAAAACAATACACTCTCTGGCATCTACTGTAAATAAGATCAATTGTAACATGTCTATTTCCATTACAGTTTTATTTTTTCATTTTGTCTGAAATAAATTACTCTTTTCCCTGCCACCACAGAGCCAAGTACTACATTATTAGATTAGTAAATTTAAATGTAACTCAAAAATGGTGCGTTTTGAGACTGTTAATAACCAAAAGCACTTAAATGTGGCAGACGGATCTCAGATTAACGCATTACGGAGAGCACCTGAATGCAGCATTTGTCACGCCTG